ACACCTCAGCTCCTGAATAATGTGCTTTACCCTTGAATAAGAAAATGCCATGAATAATTTACCTTCACCCCCTGAATAATTTACCTTCACCCCTGAATAATCATTGTTTAAATAAATTAAATTATATACTTGAAGAATAGAAAGCTTACTATCTAGCTTAATTCTTTTATTTCTAAAACTGTTTCTTTAGTCAATTGGTTTCAAATAATTTTACTTTCAAGTCTTTATTTTTCCTTCTGGAGGAACCAGGACAACATTTTTTTTTTCTTTTATTTCTTTTTTTTGTTTGTTTTTTATTTTTATTTTTTGAGATGGAGTCTCACTCTGTCATCCAGGCTGGAGTGCAGTTGTGCCATCTTGGCTCATTGCAACCCCCACCTCCCAAGTTTAAGCGATTCTCCTGTCTCTGCCTCCCGAGTAGCTGGGACTATAGGCACGTACCACCATGCCCTGGAGTCTTGGCTGACAAGACAGGTTTAGCAGGGTGGTTCTGGCTCAGAGTCCCTCATGAAGTTGCAGTCAAGATTCTTCCAGATTCATTCTCTCACTCAAGACCTAGCTACTGATCCCTCCTACCCAGTCACAGGTACTGTGCTGGAAGCTGGTGAGCTCAATGAGGCATTCTTGTCCTCCAAGAGCTCACAGCTCTTAGGAGAGACATCTAATTAATAAATAACATGTTTATTGGACATAAACATGCTAACATTGAAGGTCTTTAAAAAGTGCTTACATTGTATTTGCATGTAGTTCTGGGAGAAGAAGAGGCTGATCTGCTTGATAGGGTTTTTCCAAGCAGGAAGAGTAAGGGAAAAAGAAGGCTGAGAAGAACTGCAGGCAGTGGAATATGACAAAGGTCACATCCGCCAGCTGAGGGGGCTGATCAGATCCATCTTCAGAGGATGGGAGCCGCTCTCAGGATACTCAGCAGGGACAGTAAATTCCAGACCACACTATCTGCACCTCCTCCTTGGCATCAGTGACCATTCAAAAAAAAAAAAAATGCTGGGTGCTGTGGCTCATGCTTGTAATCCCACCCAGCCTTTGGGAGGCTGAAGTGAGTGGATCCCCCGCAGTCAGGAGTTCCAGACCAGCCTGGCCAACATGGTGAAATCTTGTCTCTGCTAAAAGTACAAAAATTAGCTGGGCGTGCTGGCAGGCACCT